GAGGGAATAAAGGAGAAGTATGCCCTAGAGGACCGTTAAGTGCCGGCTGAGGAAGGTGACAACGATTTCAGAACTAACTGTCATAACAATGACCACCCATCACTGGAAGGAATGGGGGAAGTATGCCCTAAAGGGAGCTACCTGCCGGCTGAGGAGGGGGACGTGCAAGTTGAGGAAGCGGACGGGCCAATGATTTTTTAGAACTAATTGTAATAATATTGACCACCCATCTCTGGAAGGAATGTATAAAAAAACCCATGAAGTTTTGTCCCTGGAAGCACAAGTTTGGCGGAACAATCCCCCTTGTGCCCAGCGCTGAATGAACAAATACCTGCTACTCAGAGATACAAGTCTGTGAGTAGTTTCTTTTACAGCTTTTCACGGCATCAACTTGTTCTAGGTTTCCAATGTTTTGGTAATAACCTTTGTTTGTAGGAGACTTGGAGCAGAAGACATCTTTCTCCCATGAGATCAACTCAGGAAATAATATCGGTACAGTTTGTGGTGGCAGCTGTTATAAGATCTAATTCGGGGAAGGGACTGGCTCCTATCAAGGGGTAGTTGGGCTTTAAAAAATCCAAACCAAGCCAAAAAATACCCTAAGGCAAACAAACAAGTTCATAAAACAACAGATTTCTAAAGTGATGATGCATTGTCATGGGTGTGCCCAACAGAGAAAAGCTCTTTCTGAAGATGGGTGAGGAGCCCTGGGAGAGCTGTGTAGAGAAGAATACACAATATGCAGACAGGAAAGGAAGTTGTGAGGTGTTTTCCCAAGTGTAACTGTTGATTTGCTGTAGGCTTATTTGTGTGGGGGAAAAAAGAGAAATTAGTGGGAATAGAAAAGACAAGTGCTGTCAGGGAAACAAAGGATGGATGAGAAGCCAAACACTTGGCTTTGATTGCTCCTCCTGTGCTGCTAATCCTGGTAATGAATACAAATTGAAGCTCAGGTGTCTTATATCACACTTCGGTTGTTCAGCTGTTTCAGGCAAAGAGTAAATGCTTACTGCATTATTTTTTATTTTTAAACTTAAGGGATTCACAGCTATAAGTAACAACACTTTTCTCAGATAGCAAAGATGTCACATATCTTCTGGAGCTCCCTGCTGAATTAGCAAATTACTGACATAGAAGATAAAGGTTATCCAAATGAAGAGGGAAGGTGAGACTAGTCGTTTCCAACTGGGCTAAGAAACACACAGAACAGTGTGAAACTCCCTGTTGTATCCAGCAACATGATAAGGCACTTTGTTTATGCCTTACACTTTATTCTGTCTGTGTCGAAGATTAATTCTTTTCTTCTTAGATATACTGAGGCAATAGCTATGGAACAAGAATACTAAAGAACATCTTCAGACAGAGAAGTTTGCATTTTTAGCTCTGAAAATGCTGAGATCTCTATTCCATAAATCAAATCCCGTAATCACTGTATATTCTAGGTTACCATAATAATTTTCCAGCACTAAGAAGGCTGAGTGCTGCAGCACAGCAATGAAGTACAAAATTAGCTGCCTTTTAGCTTTACTATTACTTAGGCAAACCCAATGTCAAGCTACATGCTTTATCCAAGCTGATCTGTTCTGTGGCAGCAGAGCAGTGAGTGTCCCATGGCTGGGAAAGGCAGAGCTGTCAGCTCCTCAGGAGTTGTCTGCAACTGCAGCCTTGGTATTTCAGCCTAGTACAGGAGAGCAAACCCTCGGTAGACTTGAAGCAACATGTTCAGGGCATGTTTGTCATAGCCAGTGAATGTGGTAAAAACATAGGAGGTACATTTAGGCAAAGCTATTAAAAAAGCCAAATAAACTACAGAAGAATCCTTCTGCAAGAGACCTGTCCAGAGGCTGAAGACAAAGGCTGTCATTCTGCATTTCTGCTGATGTCCATCCATGTCAAGAGAACAGTCACTAGTGCTGGACCACTGGTTACAGCACAGCTGTGTCAGGTTGCATTAGCAGACTCCTGCATCCAGAAATACCGAAGCAGACTGTGCATTTCAGGTCAAAGCAAACTCCTCTGATGCCAGCTGGTCAGAGGATAATAGCAAGTTCAGGTGTTCTGTTTAGAGGGGTGTCTTCTGACTGAAGGGCAGATTTGGAAACTAATCAAGAATAGAAATTGAAATAAAAATGTTTGGGTCAAAACATTCTTCGACAAACTGAGAGCAAACATTGCACCAGCACTGTACTGCTTTGATACAGTGCCTAGAGGCCAGGAAATGGGCTGAGGAAATCCAGTAGTGCAATTTCATTTCAGTCTAATTAGTTTAGTCAAGAATTTTAAAATCTTAACCACATCAGCAACAAGAAGAATACAAAGAATGAGGCTGTCAAATCTGCTCAACTAATAGGGTAACAGCTGTGTGGCTGATCAAAAAGATGTATGTCACAGTCTGACATAGGCGAAAGAGAAATAACCTAGGATAGGAAAGCTGGAAAAGAAGTCACTATAAGCAGCTCACACAATACATTCTCCTATGTGAAAAATGGAATTATCAAAGGATCAGGTTCTAGTCAGTGTTTTAGCTAATTACCTAGGTGACAGAATAAATGGATTTTAAGTGGCATTTTGACAGCACCAACCAGGCAGCACTGGGGAGCTCAGAACTGGAATTTAAAAGATTTTGAAAACTCTGGGAAATAGTAAGAAAGAAACAGGACGAAATTCATTATGGTAAAACAGAAGCTGCTTACATGGGTTGCAATAATCCAAGGAGAATGGTAACCAAGAGACAAGTTAACAGCTTGTCATAAGCAGAGGGTAGAGGGCAGTGCTGTTAGCAGAAGAGCAGTTGTCACCCTAGAGCCTACGGCAATGAGCAATTTAAGTGGCTGAATCCTCCTGCTGAGCACCGGCAAGGGCTTGGCTAAACCTCAGTGCCATGCTTCAGGAGGATGGACAGAGAAAAAGGCACAGAACAATTAGACATTTAGAAAATATGACTTGGTATGAAAAACTCAGTGAATCTGATTTGCTGGGCAGGGAGAAGACGGGGGGGTTTGTTTCTTTTGGGGTTTGTTTGGGGGGGGCTTTTTTGTGGTTTTTTTTGGGGGGGGTGTTCGGTTTTTTTGTGGGGTGTTTTTTGGTTGGTTGGGGGTTTTTTTGGATTTTTTTTCCCTAAGAAAGAGCCAGATTTCCTACAGAGTCTGTAAAACTTTCTACTATTGAAGACATTTTAAAGCAGATTAGTCAAACATCTCCACTAGCAGTAACTAAGATGTTTTGTTGTGCCTTGGGGTGAAAAGCAGATTAGAGAATGGCTGAGTACTTTTCAGATTAATTTTGATATGAGCACAAACCCATATTTCCAGTGGCTACTTTAACTGCAAAAATGTATTACAGCAGCTGACAAACTGTCCTCAGTTTTCCATAGGTTCTGTCAACCCAACACCAGCTGCAGACAGCAGCAAAGGGAGACTCAAAGCTCAGATTCTCTGATGGAGCTTCCTATTTTCAACTCTGCATTTTCCCAGCCACACTTAGAAATATCTGCTCAAGTACTCAACAGTAGCAAAAGATGAATTCTCTTTCTTCCTGTTTTCATAGGGAAATGGGTAAATTGCTCTACATGTACTTTAATCCTGTTCTGACTTTGGAACTGGACAGAAGTTGTTTAATAAATGAGCTTAGACTTACTTTTGTTTCAGGCAACATGAAGCTACACAGATCTTCAAATTAGAGAGAATAATTACTTTTCTTTAAAGTGTCTTGATGCAAGTCAAGTTGCATTTAAAGTTACCAAGTTATGTTACTAAATTAGTATTATTTAGGCATTTAACTGCTAAAACTTCAGCAGTAAGGTTGCCCTACTTGCATATCAGACACAGCAAATGACCAAAACCCAATCTGCTTACAGCCATGCACACAGTTTACTAGCATGCAGGCATGTGGAGCTAGCTTAGGTACTGAAAATGGCATCCCAAATTCAGCATTTCCCCCAGAGTATCTCACTAAGAAATTATGCACCACACCTCATGTCTCCAGTGTTTAGTGACAGAAAGAAAAGAAAACAGGATAATATACGCCTTGACAAACCACCGTGCCAGTGCAAGGAGATTGCTTTTGCTACTCAGATTAGCTCAGACACCTGGTGAGTAGCACTTGAAACAATGCCAACACAACTTCTGGAACTTGAATAATTCAGAGCTTGTCATTAAAGTTATGCTTTCAAAATCCATCATCAGAGAACAGTACGTGTTCCACACTCAAATGGCTTGGCCAGGACAGGTAAGGAATTTCACAGAGTAGATACTAATGCATAGTTAGGAGAGAAAAAAAAGGGATATGGACACACACTTTTAAAACTATGATTTCCTTCTGATGCAAGTAAAGTTTAAGTGTGCAAATGGGACCTACACATCCTTGAAGGAAACTAGTCTGATTCTGTGAAGACAAAACCAATTGAATTTATAGTAGCCTTTGTGCATCAAACCAGTGTATCAAAACATGCTCTGCAATTGAGTCTTAGCACATTAACAGCTTTAAACAGAGTGGACTGTAGTGAATTGACTGAATTCCAGTGTCTGTTCATGTACAGTTTGATAAAAGTCAGTTAAAATGCTGAACTAGATTTTACCTCTAAAAACCAGGCTCTGTTTAAGCTTTGCACCTTATCTTGTGGTTTTGTTAAAATCACTAAAGAAAATAAGAAGCTGAAGCAGTAAAGATTCAAAATATTAAAGTAGATCTGACTTCAGGATCTCTACTTGCCAACTTAAGTCACAGTTAAAAAAACCTGTCCCATACCCCCACCACATCCCTTCCCTGCAGGTGTGGTGCAATCCCAGGAGCAGTACTGCTTCGCATATTAGCTGTTTGGGGTGTTTCAGGATCCATTTAAGCCCATTAAAGGATTTTAACTATAGATTGAGGTAGACATGCATCGTCCTGAAGGAGTTGGGTGTAATGTTCCTCAGTATACCAGAGATCTCCTCCTAAAATTGAAGATTCAAGTTAAGCACTTGACAAATGATCACAGTTCAGCCATGAACACAGCAAGATTTTTGCTTGGCATGCTACAGCAGAAGCTTTATTCAGTTCTTTCTGAAAATATTTGCAACCAAAATTAATTTTTGTAAACTCACTGAAATAAGCTTTAACATATAGGCTGTATACAACTCAAATACAGGTAATACTTTCAGCAATAACTTACAGATACAAACTAATGATAAACTACAATTTCACAAATAATTGTAAACATTTTGCACAATTGTCAGTCCATTCTTTTAGGCAAAGTGCTCTTTTGATGACAAATAAATTAACACACACATTAACTAGAGTGGACTACTTCCAGACAATACAAAAAGGTGTTTAATAAGGCTTGTAAACAATGTAATAGTTACTTATGCAGAATCCATAAAAGTGTCTTGCAGGCTAAATATACTTACATACCTGGGCAGCAAAAATGATCTTGAAAATGCTTTGGATGTTAAATAAAAAGATAACATTAATATCTTTCCAATGATATTTCCAATACACAATGACTTAAGGTTACATCTTTAATAGCTTATATCCCTGACAGAAAGGAATTAGGTGTGACTTAGTGGCAGTTGTGTCATTGAATGGGATAGCAAAGGCTGGAGTCCAAGAGCTGTAGGTGAATGAGCTATAAAAACAGAAACATTTACTGGTCAACTTTACTGGAGGTAGAAAAACATTTTAAACCAGTAAATCCCACTGGGCAATGACAGTTCAGTGTCCCAACCCTGCAGCATGCTCCAATTTCCCCAGCCCAGCATCCACACTCCTCCACCCACAGCCCCCTTTACACCACTGCTTTGGAGAAAAACAAGTTCAGGCCACACATGTGGCTCAGCCTGGTTCTCCCCAAACCTTCACAGGCCCTACTAATCACAAATGTGAGCCAAAGCTGTAGACTTGCTAGGTCATAAGACACACAATGACTGAGACACTTTTGTCCACCAGATTCCCCTCCCTCCCCCTAAGTGAGGGAAGCTGAAGCTCTTGGAGAAGTTGATGGATTGAGCAGCCTCTGACCCCTACAGTCTGTGGCGTCAGAGTGGGTGGTCAACAGTTTTCATTAAAATTAGGTATTATTAAAAATGTGGCATGGGTGTTTAAATAAGTGTTTAATTTCTTATCATAGTTTTAATAGTCTGGAGGAAGCACAAGAAGTGGTCTTCATACCCAGATCTTTGGCTATGCTCTTACAGTGAAGGGCTACTGCTTGAAGAGCATTTCTTAATGAGGTGTAGACAGCAAGTACAGCATTGATATATTCTGTAGAGAATGCTAGAAATTGAAAATCCGTCATGTTTCTTTAATCAGTACTTGGTAAAATTTTCTTGCTACAGCTGATAATGCTTTCAGTAGGAGATGAAAAGCTGTTCTACCTACCATCCATGTAGCTGTGCAAAGCAGTCAGCATAGTCCCATCCTGGGGTACGTACGCAGAGTATGCCATTTCTTCTAACATGGGTGGAGACAGCCTGGAGGGCTGAACTGCAGTGACAGGAGCAGTAGATGAATGGTTGGGACTAACATGTTTCTTATGGCGTGCTCTGCAGTTCTGGAACCACACCTGAAGAGGGGGAAACGTATGTCATGGTGATGAATTGCATCCTCTGTCAGCATCAGCACAACAGCCACCTCAGAGCTCTGACTCCAGCTGAGTTCAGACAGTTAGTTGGACCTTTGACACAATGCTGACAGTCCAAACGGAGAAACAACCATTCAAAACCTACAAGTGTGGTCAAGTTAGGAATGTTCTCACAGTGCCCAGCAGCACACCTGGGACAGGTAGTGAGGGGCTGTGCAGCTCCCAGGGCCAGTGTCCCCCTAGGCTGAATGACAGCACCTGCAGCTCCTCTCTCTGCTTGGACTGCTGCCTCTCAGCATGTCCCAGGCACAGACACAGCCCTGCCTGGACATTACTGAGAGCAAAGCAGGTTTTCCACAGGATACCTACTTTCCTTTTTGAATGGTAAAGTATACAAGCTTCCTTTTTTTTTGTAATAAGGCTTTATTGTAGCTGCCAGACACCTCAGTTCTGTAGAAACAGTCAGTCTTTCAGGCCAGAATGAGCCAAGGGAACTCCAAACTCATTTATATCAAGATATATTTATATCTTTATATTACATAAAAAATCATTTATGTATAAAAAGCATCCACATTGTGTTTTCTGAGAGACATCTTCAAGCAAAGATTCCAAGTCTCAGTTTCAGATGACATAGGTATCTATTTTAACTCTGCTCTCTAGAGCAGATGACTTAGATATTCACTTGCTCCTAAGGTGTGATACCACAAGGCATTTTCAAAAAGAGTGCAGGTCTTAAGAACAGACTATTAATGTCAGAAATTTGTATTTAGAATAACTTAGTGCCAATTTCTATGCTATTTAGGCTGAGTAGTTTCTTCCTGAAAAGCTGTTAATCCTCCACACGAAGTGCAAGAACAACACAGCAAGTTTTCCAAATTAACATGCTTGTTCTAGACCTATTCTTGACTAAAGATGTTGTCTGAAGTTGTGTTAAAACTGCCAGATTAGATCTTTTTCCATGTTAGAATAACTACATGGACAAGATTGTCATTAAGCATTTCCAATGAATGAGTACCAGACTTCATGGGTCAAGTAACTTCGCGCTCTTACCTGGATAACACGCCTGCTCAAGCCTGTTCTTTCTGCCAGTTTCTGAAGAGTTTGTGCATCTGGATTGTTGTCCTGAGCAAATTGTGCTTGCATAACCTGAAAAGGCAAGATAAGAGATTGCAGCGGTTTGTGTCGAAAGCAGCATTAGAGACTTTCCAGATAATGGTCCTAACTCCTTGCCTGTCTTTAGGAAACTGTTGTAATCACTAGTGTTGAGACAGTCCCAAATACGTTAAGAAAAAAAATCCCCCAAAGCCAAAATACAAGCCCTTACTATGCTTAACTGAGCTGCAACATTTACCAGAAATGAAAGAAATGGATTCTGCTTGGCAGTAGTAAAAACCGGTAGAGGTGCTCTGTAAGATCGCATTAAAAAGACTAGGAGAAAATTCACTGGCAAACAATTCAAATATGCTCAATAAACAAAACACCTATTGCAGCAGACCACAGCATAGGGAAGGAATGAGACATGATCCAGCACTCTGAACTTGGCAATCACTACCTGCATCTTGTATTATATGGAGCAACTTGACCTTCTTTTCATCTACGCTGAGGATTCAGGAACTGGAAAGCACTCTGTGCCTTGTTTGCCTTTAACCAATCTGAGGAACAGAGGCTCCACCTTGGCTGACCTGCTCTTTGTGATGGTTTGGTTACACATCTTTTTTCAGAAAACATTAGGATATGAATTGCACTGGTTTGAGGAAGTAGATGTCAACTTGGCCTGCATCCTGAGGACTTTCAGAGGCTTTAAGGGTTTTGCCCCATTTATGGAAGTAAGGCTTCATGGAGTTCTGCAGGGTATCTTCAGCAATTTCAAAAGCATTAGTTTCTCATTTGGGAATTTTTGACCCTTGCTTTGACCCTGTAAATTTTGCCTGGCTTCATATTTGAAGATTCAGACTATGAATCTCCACATTCAGAAGCACTAGAACTATTTGATTTTCTATTGTTTCACGGAATCAGACTGGTTTGAGTTGGAAAGGACCTTAAAACTCATGTTGTTCCCCCCCCTGCCATGGGCAGGGACACCTTCCACTAGCCCAGGTTGCTCCAAGCCCTGTCCGACCTGGCCTGGAACACTTCTAGGGATGGGGCATCTGCAGCTTCTCTGGGCAACCCGTGCCAGTGCCTCATCATCCTCACAGGAAAGAATTCCTTCTCAATATCCCATCTAACCTCTGTCAGTGGGAAGCCAATTCCCCTCTTGTCCTGTCACTGCAGGCCCATGTCCAAAGTGCCTTTCCTGCTGTCTTGAAGCCCTTTTAGGTACTGGAAGGGGCTATAGAACAAAAACATTGAAAAATATGGACATCCCTTTCGTGCAAGTACTTCGTGAAGTGTGTAACTACATGCTGCCCCTCTGGCAGTCACTTAACCTTGTGATGCTTCTCTTGTTGGAGCTAAGGTCTTATACCAGCCTCAAGGATAGGTAAAGAGGTGCAACTAGCTGATAGAAAGTATCATTATATAACAAGGAACAAGGAACAAAGATCTCAAACACCTGCTCAAGTATGTCACAATCTACCTAAAACAGGGAA